AGCAGGAAACTTTCTCAAGAAATATTTGTGGGTAGTGGTTGCGAATCGGGCTGCGAACATCAGGGTCAGCAGTTCGAAACTACCAGCTGTTCTGCAGGAGAAGGATGAGATTTTTCTATTCCCGTAAAGATTTACAGCCTCAGAAACCCTGTAGAGGGTCGCTATGAGTCGGAACCGACTCCACGGCACATAACAACAACAACAACTATTTCTGGAGTCCTGGTGTGGTGCTGTGGGGGTTAATGCATTAGATTGCACAGTTGTTTTGAACTGCAAGGTTGGTGGTTCAATCTCACCAGTTGCTCCTTGGAAACCCTCTAGAGGGTCGCTGTGGGTCAGAACTGACTTGACAGCACTTACAAACAACAACTGTATTTTTTGTTTAACAATATCCCTATAAAATGCATTTATCCCTATTAAATGTTTGGCATTATTTCTTGTTGGGTTTTTTGTTTGTTTTATGAATAACTTAGATGTAATTTTGTGAATTACAGAAAACAATCTGCAAGTGTGCAGTTTAACATCAAATGGACAAAGATGCTTTCTCTGTTTTAAAGAGCTTTTTGAGAATTTTATTCTGTAAGCCTTTAAACTCAAACACAAGAAACTCCAACAAGTCAGAGCTAATATAAACAAAAATCTTTACAGCCTTCCAAATCACAGCATAATAGAGTAACCTGGAGACATTGGGATTAGCCCTCTGTTAGTTTCTGTTTGAATTGAGTGGCAGTTTTCAGCATTACATAGCAGCGATGGAACTCTAAGTGATGTTGCTAGTAAAATTTTCCAAGTATAACATGTTTTAGTATTAAGTTGTACTTGTGCATTTAGCAATTAAAATTATTCTTGTAATGATGATGGCATTAGAGGGGATAGGGAACTGTCAAAGAGGATTTGAAGCTTAATTATCTCTTTGGTAACGAAATGCATAATCTTCCATTACAGCGCTTATTTTCTCCTGGTAATTGACTCATTTGCTCTCTGGTTATCAATTTAACTTCCCAACCACAAACATCTGCTCTTACATTGTGTTTAATTGGTGTGAATACTATCTACAGAATAGTTAAAAACCCAGAGAACATTTTAAAGGCATTATTTTTATAATTCATGAAAGGGAAAAATAAATGCAGTGAACATTGTTTGTGATGATTCTTGTCTTTGAAAGCCTGTTTACTAAAAAAAAAAAAAAGCATATTAAAATTGCATTAATTGGGATTTATCTTTTTAAAGAGGGTTTTGCTGTGTTTTCCAGAAGTATTTACTCTACCTTAAGAGGACCCTGAGGAGTCCTGGTGGTGCACAGATTAAAGCACTTGGTGGTACCGGCCCACCAGTTGCTCCGCAAGAGAAAGATGTGACAGTCTGCTTCCATAAAAATGGATAACCTTGAAACTTCTTATGAGATGGTTCTAAGCTTGACCCTATAGGGACCCTAGGAGTTAGAATCAGCTGTGAACGGCCCTGGGTTTGGTTTATGGAAGGGAAGCTTTTAGATTCCAGAAATATAATCAATTCCTTGGAAAGAGATTTAGAGTGTAGGCATTGAAGGTAGAAAAGAACTGTTTAGTGTTGCTGTGTAATCTAAAGAAGATGAGTGAAGATAAATTATATATGCTCATGTAGGTGTATGTTTATTATCCTGAAAGATAAACCATAAAACTATTTTAAATGACTATAAGGAAAGGACAGGGACCGGGGGAGGGAAAAGTGGCTAGAATCAAGACTTGTTTAAATATATCTTGTTTTCTAGATTTAAATATTTGCAAAGAAATTCCTGAAAATAGAAAGTAAAATGAAACAAATTACTGTAAATATAGACCCATTGTTAGTATGGTGTTGTTAAGTGCCATTGGGTCCGACTCCTAGGGACCCTGTATAGGGTGTCTGAAGAGAGGCTGGTGAGCTTGAACTGTTGACTTTGTGATTCAAATTGACCTTGCAGTCTAGCTTATCCCACAGCGCCATGCCAGGACTCCACTATAGCTCCACAGGAAGTTACTATTCTAAGTCAAAGTTACTATTCCAAGTGAATTTAAGGCAATAATTTAAGTGTGCACACCTAGTGGGATATACACTTTAAGGACATAAAGAAGTGCAAAAATGACCAACAGTTTTTCATTATATTGTTGTTGGAAATGTTGGTATTGCTAGTCTGAGACTGGATGCAATATAAAACAAGTAAGTAGCTATGTTAATGTCTTTGAGGACTGAGAATTTTGGCTTGAGAGAAAGGAGGTACCAATGTAAAAATAAAGTTCAGCTAAAACTTGTATCCCTGAATTAATTGGAAATATCTCTGTGAAATCATGATGAATTCTGTCTTAAAATATACACAGTCCCTCTCCCCCTTACCACCACCACCCCGAAGAAATGACCAGGAGAGACTAATGACCACTAGGGTCATGTCAGAAATGATTCAGGAGCCATCTTGATGAGACTTCTATTGATTAAAGATGGATAATTTGAGCATCAAAAGAATCATAACTTCAGTGGATTGAAATAACTAAAATATATTTTGAGCCATGAGTTTATAGTAATATACACACACACTAAGTGAGCCCCTTGTGGGAGGCTATTAGAGAAGCAAAGGAAGAAACAAATTTGGATGAGGGCTCCCCCATTCAAGGCTGAAATTCAGACCTTGTTGGAAAAAGTTGAGCTGCTGCCAAAAGCTTGCTCATGGACCAAACCTGATCCACAGAAAATTACCTACTGGGATGCCTCAGACCAGAGCTGCTGTGCAGAAAGCCACTTGCTGGGGTGCCAGGGAACTGGACTGTTGATGAGCAGGAAGTTTTTCACAGGGGTGCCATGCATCAGAGCTGGTACACTGAAGTCCATTGAGATGCTGTGAGTTAGAGCCAGTGTGCAAAAAGCCACGTGCTGGGGTATTGGAGAAATTTCTAGGAGGATGCACACCACTGGGTTTCTTCCCTTTCCTTACCATGCTGCATACCCTGTAGGAGTATACACCAAGGGACAAGAAGAAGAGCACAACACAACTTGAAAGATAAGCTATGCTTTGTAGTGTCCCTCTGGTGTCTTCTATCAGCATAATCTAACATTGCACCAGATGGCAAAGGTTCACCTTGGAACTGAGAGGCCGTAAATTGATAACTGGTACATGTATTATATGAGGAATTTTTACAATCGGATAACAAAGTTTTGTGAGCACTCTTGCTGAAAGAAAAGGAGCAGAGTACTTGTATAGAAAATTCACAAAGTAATTCACATGGTTAATCAATGTTTGAGGACTGGTCAGATCTACTATTAAACATTTCTGATTTCATCTTATTGCATAGACTTATGTTTTCAGTATTCTCCTTTACTGTAAGTACTTTGCTTCTTCCCCTCCTTTTCTCATACTGGAGGCCTGGAGTTCTACCTGTTACCTATGCTGTTATTCCTTATTTACCCAAGTTTTAAAGTTAAACTTCTTCCCAGGGTCTCACCTAACCAGTGCAATCAGACAAGAAAATATGAAAAAAGGAAAGTAAATTGGAAAGGAACAAATAAAACTGGCCCTCCTCACAGACAGCACGTGATGGATCCTCTGTGTGGGTAATCCCACAGGGTCTGCATGAAAGAGCTAATGAATGAGATTAGCATGACCACAAGATACAAGATCAATATATAGATAAATCAGTTTCATTTCTGTATACTAGCAATGAGCAAGGAATTTAAAATATTTTAAGTATTTGAAATACTTAGAGATAAATCTAACAAAATATGAGTAGAATTGTTTTGTATCCTAAAACATACAAAACATTGATGAGAGAAAAATAAAATCTAATTAATTGGAAAGGAAGACACAATATTGCTAGGCTGTCAGATTGCCCCAATTCAATACAATCCCAAATGAAGTCCAACAGCCGGGGCACATTTTAGCTCAACAATAAAAAGAGCTGCTGTTTTTATTGTTGTTATTTAATAGAATTAGTCCACAGTAGCGCTTGCTGCTTCCTTGTTATTTGAAAAATTCAGACGTGTCAGGAAGAGTGCTGGTCAAACATGGTATATAGGAAATTACATCATTAGATACAGAGTCGAGCTAGATGGTCTTCATTGACTCTTTGAATTCACATTCTTATGAATCTGTTATGTCAGCATTTACTGCCTTGGGTCCAAGAGGAAAGGAAAATACTGAGATATTCAGAGAGGCTTTTTGAAATACACTTATCCTTTCCCCAAACATATCACTTAGCTAATCTCCCTTCCTAGAGACTATTTAACATAATGAGGGATGTTGTTACTAACGGACATGTATTGCATGAATTAATTATTTCAGGTCACTAATAATGACGTTTTTGGTATTCTGATGTGGCGCTGTGGGTTAATGCGCTGGCAGTTTGAACCGCACGCTCGGCAGCCACTCTTCAGAAACTCTATACAGGGTCACGATGAGTCGAAACTGACACAGCAGCACTTAACAACAACAATGTGATGTGTATCATCCTGGTGTGGTACTCTAGGATAAGCACTAAACTGCTGATGTAAAGATCTATGGCTCAAACATACTAACTGCTCCTTGGAAACCCTATACAGGGTCACTATGAATCGGAACTGACAGAATGACACCTACCAACAGTTTGACGTTTATATTATACACATTTTCTGGTCACTCATTAAGTTGACTGAAAAAGATTTATCAGTGTTCTTAACTGTTTCTATTTAAATTATGGGTTTTCCAAAATTGTATAAATATTAAGATTTATTCTTTAAAATTCAGTTTTCAACAGCTTGGCATATTCATATTTTCAGTTTCTTCAACATCGTCAGCTTAGTAATTTTTCTGTACAATGAGTTAGAGAAACTCAGAAATAATTATCTTTGTAATCCTTCTTTCAGATAATTAGAAAACCATTTTATAAAGGTATTTTATACCTAAATTCTAGTTTATATGTATTTTGTGTCTTCCTTTGTAAAATTATGTGACACTATCAAATAATAAACACATACGGGTTTTATGATTTATTTTTATTCTCACTGATATCTTGTAGCTCAACCTGAATTCCTGAAGCAACCTGCCAATATATATGCTCATGAGTCTATGGATATTATATTTGAATGTGAAGTGACTGGGAAACCGACACCAACTGTGAAGTGGGTCAAGAATGGAGATATGGTGATTCCAAGCGATTACTTTAAGATTGTAGTAAGTATTTTTGAAAGCACATTTGTTCTCTAAAACCTTTAAATGTAATCACCAAGAGATTAGTTTTCTTACGTATACCAGTTTATGTATTGCAAGTGAAGGTAGAAAAATTCACATAGATAGTAATCTCTCTATTAACTGATTAGAAAGCTAGGCCAAAAATATTTCTGTAATTTTTATGTAAGATCATGTAACGAATCAGTGACCGAACTAAGTGAGGTCCAGATCTCCTGACCCACAGTCTGGAATTCTTACTCAGACACACTGGTACCCTTAGTGAAACACAGCTGGCACCATTTTCTGGGTATGTTTTATGTGTTTATATATGTGACCATTTGTGACCTTCAGTTCTCTCTTCAAGGAACAGAAATACATCCGTTGAAGCTTGTCTTTTGGGAAAACATTAAGCTAACACAACTGAGATAATAAATACTAAAAATGATAATACTGTACAAACTGAACCAAAAATCATATACTGGTGCCCAGGCCCTTCTAAATAAATATTAATTACCCAATGTGGGCTGTAAGATAAGTACTGGATTGCTAACGGCAAGTCAGCAGTTCAAACCCACCAGATGATCCTTGGAAACCCTATACTGGGTCACTGTGAGTCAGAACCAACTTGATGGTACTTAACAACAGCAACTATCACCTAGTGTTGGGCAACTGGTATAATAATATAAATTATAAAGATTCTTATAAAAATAAATGCAAAAAGTAATATTAAATATATTTTAAATACTCAGTCATAGCTTAACTTTTTATAAGGGAGTGTGATGGTTCTGTATGATAAGCACTGGACTGCTAACTACAAGATCAGTGGATCAAGCCCATCTGCTACTCTGCAGGAGAAAGATGAGGCTTTCTGGTCCCACAAAGATTTATAGGCTCAGAGACCCTCTTCAGGGTCACTGTGAGTCAGAACCAACTTTGACAGCACTTAACAACTACCGCATCAGTCGTAATTGCTTTCTACTTTTTGTATAGTAAATGCTTAGTTACTGTTACCACCACCATCTAGTGTCCTATTTATAGAATTATCCAGATTTTAGTAATACGGATGAGGCTTTCTGCCTCAGAAACCATATATAGGGTTGCTGTGAATTGGAACCAACTCGATGGCACTTAACAACAACGGTAATAAGGATTGACGTATCTTAAGATGCATGTGTGACATTCATAGAAATGATTAGAGTAATTATGGGTGTTAAAGACTTAATGTCTCATTACCAGTTTTCACATAAGTAATTTATTCTTAGCAGGAATGTATTTTCTATTTTTGAAATGCATAATCTCATAAATTGCAAAATGTGAGTTATAAGTATTTAGCACTAACTGAAAGGCAGTATGCCTCCATTCGTGTCAGTCTGTCATCCTGTGGTGGCTTGTGTGTTGTTGTGATACTGGAAGCTGTGCCATTTTAAATACCACCAGGGTCACCCCTGGTGCACTGGTTTCAGCTGAGCCTCCAGACTAACACAGACTAGGAAGAAAGAGAGATGGACTACTTCTGAAGGGTTAGCCACTGAAAAGCTTAGGAACAGCAGGGGTACATTGTCAGATCCCATGTCAGAAGATGAGTCCCTCCGGTTGGAAGGCACTCAAAATACAAATGGGGAAGAGCTGCTTCCTCAAAGTGGAGTTTGTTGACTTTAAGATGTGGATGGATCAAAGCTTTGCTTTACTGATGGGGCACAATTCAGAATGGGAAGAAACAGGTGGAAACATCCATTAGTAATCAGAACATGTAATGTATGAAGTATGAATCTAGGAAAATTGGAAGTCGTTAAAAGTGAAATGGAATGCATAGCCATTGATATCCTCTCATTAGTGAGCTGAAATGGACTGGTGTTAGCCATTTTGAGTCCTGGCATGGCACTATAGTGATAAGCACTGGACCACAAGGATGCTTTGAAACCACATTGTCGGCAGTTAAAGCATGCCAGCTGCTCCTCGGAAACCCTTTACAGGGTCCCTATTACTCAGAACCTACTTGAAGGCACTTAATACCAATAGTTATTAATGATATACTATGTGGGAAACAACAAATTGAAGAGGAATGGTGTTGAATTCCTTGTGAAAAAGAGGATTTCAGTATCTATCTTGAAGAACAATGTTTCTGTGTTAGGGTATTGTCCATATGCCTACAAGGAAGAGTAGTTAATACCCCTATTATAAAATTTACACACCATCCATTAAAGCCAGTGATGATGAAATTCTTCCAGCTTCTTGGACCTGATACGGCACTGTAGGATAAGCCCTGAACTGCTAGCCACAAAGTTGGCAATTCAAACCCACCAGCTGCTCC